TTGTCTCTCTACCTCTGTGTTTAGGCCCTAGCCTATGGAAGTCAACGGCTAGTACACATTATGCATTTTCGTGACTGATGCCTGCAATGATCTCTTTGTACCAGTGAAGAGGTTAGCTCAGAGCCTTTGGAATATTCCACCAGTCCCCCTCCCTTCCCAGAAAGGAGAAGTCCTTAGAGCATGTAGGTACCCCTCCCCTCCAGAAGGGAGAGGCTGGGTCATCATATTCCTCAGGAAGACCACAGTTGACCACCTGCAGATAAGAGAAGCTCAGAGCATGTAAACACCTTCCTCAGGGCAGACAAACTTAGGATCACTCAGTTTAAAAGTCACACTGTTCTGCCAATCACATTGTACCTAGTGGCTGTTGCTCTATTTTACTCCTGAAAACTGTATAAAAACTGGCCCGCCAGACTGCCCGGGGTCCTCACCTTTCCTTTTGGGTGCAGGACGAGCTGAGCATGCTGGAACAGTAAACTCCTCTTGCCTTTGCATCAATCTCTGGCTCTGTGTGGTTCATTCAGGGGTCCCTGGTAGCTAGGGCTCGTCAGAGTCTTACACCAGGACAAGACTTGATGATTCTTTGGCAGATTAGGGCCATGTGGCAGCACTGATTGGTAGGAATTATGCAGAGGTGGGAAGAATCTAACAGGCTAGAAATAGAGAAATCCATCAGTATTGAGACTTTGTGTTGTGGTAATATTATTTGGAGGTTTCTACCCCACCCTTAGATCATTTAGTTCCCAAATAAAAGACACAAAACCTTTATATTTATAATAAGCTTTTAAAACACTGGAGCTAGGCAGATATCAACCCTCTACTATAACTGGTCTACTGCCCTGTCAGTAACCCAGAGATATCACTTGCCATGTTCTGCCTGGTACATTCCCACTCCAACAGGCCAGCCCTCTTGGCCATGTGCTCACAATCCAACTACCCCATGGCAACTTCCTCCTCCTCCTTTTCCTCCCTCCTCCCTTCTTTGTGGTCTCTACCTCAGACCCCAAGCCTGGGGACCAAACCCCTGCCTACCTCTCTTCTGACCTGCTACAGGCTGTAGGCATCTTTATTTAACTAGTAGTTTTAAATTAAGAAGCAAGGTTACAACGTATCACTTGGTGTGCCAGAGGATCTCCTCCTGGGGGCAACCAGAGATTGGGGGCCAGTATTTAGCATTACAATACACAGCAACAGACCAAACCCCTGTCTTGGGTGAGAAGGTAGGAGCCCTGTGTCCTGATAAGGTATGCACTGAACTGAGCCTGGGAGAGCAGCTGAGGGCATTCATCTTACTAGATGAAGAAAGCAACATGGCCTCCATTCTCTGGCTGCCCCCAGAACCTGTCATTTCCCTTATATGATCTCTCTCCTTGGGACTCTGCCTGACTCACCACTCACTGTCCTGAGACCCACGCTCACACTCACAGTCCTTGGAGGGGCCTCCTTGGCTCTTTCTCTCCAGACCCTGGCTCTTGACTTTCTCTCTTTTAATCTCTGTTCTGTTGTTCAAGTAAACTCTTGGCTTCACTTATAAATGCCCTTGATGGTGTTACGGCTTGTTAGACCTGGGGCTTCAGGAGGACAGAAACTGGTCTGATCTTTGTGGAAGGCACAGCACCTGGAAAGAACTCAGATAAAAATCAATCAATCAATCAGTAAGTAAGTAAGTGTCCCAGGACCCTACATGTCCTGGGTGCAATCACAAGTCCTGCGGTTTTAAGTAATGACCCTTTAATAACATGGTTTGGCCGGGCAGTGATGGCACACACCTTTAATCCCAGCACTTGGGAGGCAGAGGCAGGAGGATTTCTGAGTTCGAGAGTTCGAGGCCAGCCTGGTCTACAGAGTTCCAGGGCAGCCAGGGCTACACAGAGAAACCCTGTCTCAAACAAACAAACAAACAAACAAACAAAAACAAAAAAAACATGGTTTCATTTCTCTCTCTCTCTCTCTCTCTCTCTCTCTCTCTCTCTCTCTCTCTGTGTGTGTGTGTGTGTGTGTCTGCTGTCTGTGTGTGGGTACGCATGCATGTGTATTCTGCAATACTGATGTAGAAGGCAGAGGCCAACTTGCAATACTCAGCACTTCCTTACAGTGTGGATTTGAGGACTGAATTCAAGTCCTCAGACTTTGAACCAAGTAGTACGATCCATAGATCATTTCTCTGTCCCACCCCTCTATGTTGTTTCTTGGAAAGTCGCACTGTCATACTTGCAAACATCAGTCATCAGAATAAAGCGGCCAAAACTTTTGGGAACAACCTAGCTTTCCCTCCCCTCCACCCACCCACTTTTACTATTTCCCGATCGCTGAGGGCTGCCCGCTGCTGAGCCTGTTTCCCGTGTCTTCTCTCAGGCTGCAGACAGAAACCCCGGGTCTCCTCTCAGGTTCCTGGTCTCTGAGGGTGACCCAGCTAGACTCTGAGCTCCGTCTTCTCACCCACAGTCAGATAATAAGCTCCACAGCTGTTCGTCAGCACACAGGCCTGCACCTTTAGGACACATCCCAGAGCCTCAGCCAGCTCATGCTCCCTGCAGCTAAGGGGGAGAGGCAAACTGAAGTTGACAGCTCTGTCTGTGGGACCTTGTTCTTCGGTGCTCCTTACGCTGTGCTGAACTAAGTCAGGAGATTGAAACTTCCCACCATGCTAACAGAACAGAAGCAATAGAACCTTCCCTTTGTCCTGGGAATCGGTCCAGAACTCTTAGGGAGACAATGCTCAGGGATTTGGTCCTGAGCTGAAGGCTGCTGTCTGAAGAGATTCTGTGGCCTTCCCTCCATCCCTTCATCCCTTCCTTCCTCTCTCTTCCCTCCCCCAAGCCCCCATCATTTTCATCATGGTGAAGCTCTTCTCCAGGGTTTAAACAAAAGCCTGTCCTTCCCTTGAGCCCCTGGCATGTCCAGATTCTGCCACTTCCTGCTGTTCCTACACTCCAGGCCCCATCATGGCCTCAGACCCTTTATCTCAACAAACCCTGCTGAGGGAGCTGTTTCAGCTTCCTGTGAGGACCTCCCACCTGTAGAGGGTAAGAGGTCCCTGTGCACACAGGGAAGCCTTGGAGAAGCCAGCAAAGTTAAACACTCAGGCTTCAGTGGAAGGAGATGTTTGCTATCTTCCTCCAGGAACTCAGGGAAAGGCTGTCGTTTACAACCTGCTCATCTCTAGCTATCTGTAAGGCCGACTGCACCTGAGTCTCCCGGAATATCATGTCTGTGTATCCCTGGCTTTCCCCTACATCTTGAGCATTGCTTCTTAGTCTGTCCCAGCATCCTCGTGACAGTTGGCACTTGTACTCTACAACAGCCCAAGTGACCTCTGTCTTATCTTTGGGACAGGAATTGTGTTTACCTCAGCCATCCTCCACAGGCCCTCATCTTGAGCATTGTCTGTAAGTCAACAGAACCCATGTTCATGGAAGAAGGGATATGGACTCTGTAGAGTCTCAAAGTCAACATGCCTTGAGCTGTGTTGTACCCTTGGGGTCGAGCTGATCGTCATCAGGAAACGATTTCCCCCAAATCGTGCTGTGCTTAATTAAATATGGCTAAAACCACCCAGTGTCAGACTCCAGAAGTTTGTCCCAGCACTGCCTAACTACTTGTGGCTGACCTGAACTTCATTCTGACCTCACCCGACTGTCTCCTTGCCTACTGTGATGGGTACAGGGATCCCACACCCACACTGCTAGCTTTCTTATTTATGACACTGTGAGGAGAAGCCCTTGTCATCAAGGGTGACATTTGTTGGAAGAGAGGGAGGGAAGGAGAAAGGGAAAGAGAGAGGGGGGATTTCCAGGTCTCTGCTGCCTCCTCAGTCCTCCCTCTGTGGAGAAGAGCTTCAGGTTCAGCCCTACTCCTGTGCTCCATGCTGTGCTCCCAGCTCTGCTGTCTTCCTCTGAGCTCAGCCTCCTCCCAGGCAGGAGCTCCCTCCAGAACCACATAGACTGTTGGTGTCTAAGACTCTGCTCTGTCCCCTCCAGTGTCTACCTCCCATGCCTCTCCCTTCTCTCTCTTTGCAGTTCAGTCCTCCACACCACACAGTGAGCAGCAAGGCTGAGAAGCGTACTGTGCCCTGGGAGATCAGGTCACTCCAAAGATGCTCTGCTGAGTCATGGCCTGGGTCTGTCAATACCAAAGGACTGTCATAGAAACTCAACTGATCATCCAGGTGTCCTGAAAATAGAATCCACACCCAGCAGGTAGGTGACAGATGTCTCCCAGGGCTAGGAAGGGACTAAGTGTGTGATGACTGTGTAACAGAACTTATCTACGGTCACTAGTGTCACTAATTAAAGTTCTGTTCCAGGCACCCAGGAGCAGTTGTGTCAACAGAGTGTGACATTTCATGTCTACAGGATGACGTAATCCGAATCCTGGAAATAGGATGTGTGTCCATCTTCCTGCGGAAGGTTTCAGGGTGGCTGTGAGTTCCCTGCAGTGCTGGCTTGTGCCTCAGTCTGTAATGAAAGTCTACTCTGGGCTAAGGATGCTGTGTAGCAGGCAGAGTGCTTGCCTAGCATGCCCTGGGTCAGATTCCAGCACAGCATCTTCCAGAAGTGCTGCTGCACCTCCCTGACATCCTAGCACTGGGGAGCTGGAGGCATGAGGGCCAGAAGGCCCAGGCCATCCTCAGCTGCGTATACCAGCCCGAATGGGCAGCCAGAGATCGAGTCTCTCGCAAACAAAAACAAAGGGGAGATACTATAGTCAGGCCTGGCTGTGGTGGTGCACACCTTGAATCCCAGCGCTTGGGAAGCAGAGGCAGAGGGATCTCTGTGAATTCAAGGGTAGTTTGGTCTACAGAATGAATTCAGGACAGCCAGGGCTACACAGAGAAACCCTGTCTTGAAAAACTAATAAACTAATAAATAAAATTAAAATACATATATATTTCTTAAGTGCTTCAGAATGCTTCCAGGTACAATATGCATTTTATACACATTATAATATAACACGTTATAATATATAATATATATTTTGTTTTCTAAGATAGGGTTTCTTTTTGTAGCCCTGGCTATCCCACAGTTCCTTTGTGTAGACTAGGGTGGCCTCGAACTCACTAGATCTGCCTGCTTCTGCCTCCTGAGTACTGTGATCAAAGGAGTGCATGCTGGCTTCTTTTTATGTTTTAAAAGCATATTAGACATCTTTAGCTAAATAGTCCTGACCAAGACCTTAGAGGTTTTTTATAAGTCAAGGCTACACAACTATCAAGTGGCACCTCAGTTTTTGCATGTGTGTAGTCTCAACACTTAGGAGACTGAGGCAGGAGGATTCTTGTGTTGGGAATGTATAACGAGTTCCAGGCTTACTAAGGTCAACCAAAAGTAAATGCAAAATAACCCATGTGAATGAATAATTAGTGTTAAAGCACTGGGAGACTTGGGAATCAGACTCATGGTGGTCAAAAGAGAAACATTTTTCTCTACTTACTAACTGCTGTCCTTTCCTATTCTAGCATCAGATGTCCATCAGGCTGAGTCAGATGGCCCCTTCTGGCTACAGTGACTCTTTCTTGTCTTGTATGACCTAAGGGCAAGGCCAGGATCCCCATGCTCATGACCAATGTGTCCAATCTAGATCAGAGCACAAGGGAGGGTCTCAGGAACTGGGGTTTCTTTGTGGGTGCAGGTAACTAGACAAGGCCTTCCCAGTGCTTAAGAAGGTGAACTGTAGCTTCGAAAGCCAAAACCGGGAAGCAGGCTTCTTTGGGACAGCCATCTTCCAACCCCACCTTACCTCATATCTGCCTGTCACCTGCTCCAGGACAGATGAACGAACAGCTGACCAATTATCACACAGGAAGAAGTGGGGGCTGCCAGCTTGGGGATCCGCCAAGATTCCCCAGTGTGACCCTAGAGACCTGCACAGCTAGAAGTCACATGAACCAGAGCCCTAGGGACTGGTGGGGCTTGAGGTCTGGATGTCAATCAGAGAGATGCCTGGGCTGTCAAAATTAAACATAAATAAAACCACGATTTTGCAGAGAATGATGGGAATCTGGAACAGTTGCCCTCTCCTGTGTCACAGGCAGGGGGAGTAATGGGCAAGGGGTTTTGGAGTAGGATGGTCAGGGCTCATTTCCTAACCTAGTGGTTGTTCCCAGCTGCAAACACTGTAGAGAAATGTGGAGGTCACTGCAGAACTTCAGAAGTAGGGCAAATGGCGGACATGCAGGCCATGGAGACCCAATAAAATCAAAACGGTGGGATTAAAATAGCGTCTGGGAGGAGAGAAGAAAATGATGTCATCCAGTCATGACTTTTCTTAATACCTGAGGGCCTTCAACCATTATTTATAATGTAAGATTTTTTGAATGCATTATTTTAAAAAAAACTTAAAGAATAGGTTTACAGACAGGTGGGGTGGGGGGAGAGAAAGGAAGAAGGGACAGTCTCCCAGCAAGAACAGTTGACACAGCGCATGGCCTCAGGCAGATTCCCTGCACACAGCCCATGTGACTCTGGAAGATGACCCTGGGGTAAGGACAGGGGAAATAAGAGGGAAGGACCCTCGGACACCAGGACAGCACACATGGGAGCAGAGACCATGGAGTCCCCTTCTCTGCTTCTCTGCAAAGGGCTCCTGCTCACAGGTGAGGCCAGGCCTGGAGTGGTGGTGGTGGGGCGCTCTGACAGGAAGGGACCCTGGGAGGAGACTCTGCTTCAGGCTGAGAGCAGAGGACACAGGGAGGGACCCAGGCTGCTCAGATGGATGCTCTCAGGGAACAAGGGGTGTTCAGAGGGGAGGAAAAGCCATGTCTCTCTCTATTTAAAGTTAGTCACCAGTGCCCACAGGGTACATGGCTGTACCCTGACTGTTGGAGTCCCCACAGGGGTGGCCATGGTAATAATGGGAGTTTGCTCTGCACCAGAGATTGCCCAGAGCACAGTACCCAGAGGACCACAAATGTCCTGGGTCAGATCCAGGCTTGTGTGTTTGTGCCCATCAGGGGCTCTGGAATGGGAGTCAGGGCCTTGATGCTGAGCTGTGGGTGTGCTTGGAGTCTCCAAGCAGGAGTGCATTGTGGGAGGGAGAACAGGGCACAGGGCTGTGCTGGGGCTTCTGACACAGAAGAGGTGGACAGGCAATGGGGGTGGGGGGATGATGGAGGAGGACCTGAGAGTCTACAGAGGCCTGGAAGTCTCCTCCCTGTGAGGGGGAAGAGCTGGCAGCAGGGCACAGAGAAAATGTTGGGACAAAGAAGGAGGCAGCCCTGGAGAGATTCTGTTGGTGAGAAGAGAGAAGTGAGCTGTGATCCAGGACTCGGACAAGGGTCTCTCTTTGAGGCCACAGGATTTATGCAGTGCTGGAGAGGACGGCTGTGTGTGGTTGGGAAGAGGAAAGCAGGAAAGCGGGATCCTTGCTGTGGGGAAGTGAGGAAGCCACGGGGGAGCTGTGGAGGAAGGCTGCCTTAGGTGCCTTCAGTGAGTGAGCAGGGGATGCCTTAACCCTGTGAAGTTGGAGGCTGCATGTGCCCAGGTGCCTGTCACCCTTAGGAATTGGGACACCTAGGAAGGACATTGTCTGAGGAACTGAAACAGGCTGTCTCTCTCCTCACACAGCTTCAGGGAGCCCAGAATCTACTGGAAGGGCAGCTATGGGAGACAGGGAGGTAGCTATCGGCTCACACCTTCCCCTCCCCCACAACAGAGAGAGAGAGAGAGAGAGAGAGAGAGAGAGAGAGAGAGCCCCTAGATACCCCCAGCCCTACAATTCATTCATTCATTCATTCATTCATTCATTCATTCATTCATTCATTCTTCCACAGAAGTCTGAGTCTTTCTCAGACACAAGGCCTTCCCCTAGCCCCTGTCCTCACAAAGATCTCATGATCTGGAAGACAGACAGGGGCTCCGAGAGCTTTTAGAAGATACAGCAAGGGGTTGACTGCAAATACAGAGAAAAGAGCAACATTTGGTAGTGATGACCCAGAGTCTCTGGAGGAGAAGGTCAGGGAAGGCATCCCCAACCCCAAGTGTACTCTTGCGGGAATGTGAGCGCAGTGAGCGGGAACCCTGCAGACGTGGGAAGAGAGAGATCCATACAAAGGCAGCCACTCCAACTTCAGAGGACCGGGGAATGTAGATGCCGAAGTTCCCCTGCACGAGTAAGAGAGGCACACCCTCCTTCCACACCTAGGCTAAGAGATGAACACTCCGACCTGCTCAGGACTTGCGGTTCATCTCATCAAACACTAAGGTCCCGATATTGATGGATTTTTCTCTCGTTCTTCCTAGCCTCCCTCTTAACCTGCTGGAATGCACCCGCCGCTGCTGAGCTCACTATTGAGTTAGTGCCACCCATGGTTGCCGAAGGCGGAAACTCCGTTCTGTTTGTGCACGAAATGCCGCTGAATGTCCAGGCGTTTTACTGGTACAAACAGAGAGGTCCGACCAAGAGCTATGAAGTCGCGCGGTACTTAACACCCACTAACGAAAGTTCGAAGATGCCTCAGCACAGTGGTAGGAAAACCGTATTCTACAGTGGATCCCTGCTGATCAGAAATGTCACCCAGGCCGACAGCGGAGTCTACACCTTACTAACATTTAACACAGAAATGGAAAGCGAGTTAACACACGTGCATCTGGAAGTACGCGGTAAGTGGTTGCGTGACCTCTGGGTGCTAGGGCTGGGGGTGAGGCTCATTCCATTTTACCGTACAGGACCACCAGGCATCAGCTATGCCCATCTCCTTCTGCGCGTGCCTCCTCGCTGGAGTTTGAGCATTTAGTGCAGGACATACACGGGGGAGGAAAATCTACAATTTCCCTGACTCCACTCCCAGAGAAGAGGGTGCACTCTATGTAATTCAGTCTGAGTGGTGGGGCTTCACCACGACCGTGGCCCTGAGAAAGACTCTTGGGGTCCCGGCAGGGTTTGGCTGAGGAAACCATGGGGTCCTCACAGTAAGGTGGCCACAAGGAAGTCCTGACTCCAGATCTCTGCATGAGCTTCTAGTCCAGGGGAACCTGGGGACCTTCACGTCTTCTGAGAGATGATCGGGACCGAGGCTTTATTGCTTACGTGTCTCCTATCAGGAGGAACCAGCCTACGCACTGTCTGGCGGACCACAGTCAGGTTAGGTCACCCGGACACATTCTTCTCCTGAGTTTCAGCGTGGAGAGCCCAGATGGACAGGTGCCCATGCTGTGAGCCAACTGATTTGAGGGGCTCATGAGGCTATAGGTCCTCCTGGCAACTGCTTGTCCTCAGGGGTCCAGCCCAGTCAACTGTCCCTTGTAGGCAGAGTAATAGACTCTGACATTCTGAGCCGCCCCATCTCTAAAGCGCAAGTCCTTGTTCACATTTAAGGTTACCTTACAGACATGGCAATGATCATTTATCGTGTGCCATTATTATTATTATTATTATTATTATTAGGTTTTTTTTTCAAGACAGGATTTCTCTGTGTAGTTCTGGCTGTCCTGGAACTCACTGCATAGACCAGGCTGGCCTCAAACTCAGAAATCCGCCTGCCTCTGCCTCCCAAGTGCTGGGATTAAAGGCGTGCGCCACCACTGCCCGGCTATTATTATTATTATTATTATTATTATTGGTTTGGTTTTTCAAGACAGGGTTTTTCTATGTAACTCTAGCTATCCTAGAACTCACTCTGTAGACCAGGCTGGCCTCGAACTCACAGAGAGCTGCCTGCCTCTGCCTCTCTGCTTCTCAGCCTCTCTGCCTCTGTGCTGGGATTAAAGGCATGCACCACTACTGCCTGGCCAAGTGCTCTATTTTATAGAAACAGAAACACAGGAAACACAGTGGCTGAATTAGGGCCATATAGACCATGGTTGGCAGATCTGAAGGAGCACATGTCTGTCTACAGTCTTGGTCTGGAGGCCATACTAGATGTCTGTGGACCACAGAGGGCTTGTTGGGATCTGAGGGTGAGCCGCCATCATTCAGTCCCTCCTCTGTTCCTTCACAGAGCCCGTGGCACAGCCCACCCTCCAAGCAGACAGTACCACAGTAACAGAAGATGGTTCTGTGACCCTCACGTGCCTCTCAGAAGATCCCGGACTCTCTATCCGTTGGCTGTTCAATCACCAGAGCCTGTATTTCAATGACAGGATGACTCTGTACCAGAAAAACAGCAGACTCAGCATAGACCCAGCCAGGAGGGAGGACTCTGGGGAGTACCAGTGTGAGGTCTCCAATGGGTACAGCTCTAAGATGAGTCTCCCACTCCAAATGGCTGTGACTAGCGAGTGAGCTCGCCACTGGGGTGGGGAACTCTTTGTCAGTGATACTAAAAGTGAAGAAAAGTTCTGGGGAAAAAACCAAGACAGTCAGCGTGGTGATGGAGACCTGTCATCTCAGGATAAAATGCGAGTCAGCAGGAACGTGAGTTTGAACCAGCCAGGGTTACAAAGTTTGACCAGTCTCAAGAAAAATCAGCAGAGTAAGCAAAGCTACGAAGGGATTACAATCATGGGCTTAGGTTCTGAGTCAAATATGGCCAGTCCTCCAGATCCATGGAGAACTGATTCCAGGCACCCCCAAATTTCTGGATGTTCTGAGTCCCCTGTTGAAAATGGTGTTTGCACACACACATCATCCTCTCGCATGCCCCAGTCATTTCTGATGCCTCACACCGATGCCGCCCAGACACCTTTCCAAACCATTTCTAAGCATATTCTGTTTCCCTCACCCCTGACAGCTGTCAGCCCACTTCTGCCTCTACGTACGTAGTGTTTGTCTTTTTTGTTAGCATGATACAAAGCATGATTCTGTTCTCTCAAGCCACCTGGCTGGTGGCATCCTGCTGGATTAACGGACATTAAAGGACATCCTTGGTACAACTGATTCATCTTTGCTGGTTATCTTACATTCTTGCCTACTATCTACCACCAGATGATAGTCTATTTGATCATTTTTTTTATAATTTTATTTTTATTTTACATTCGTTGGTGTTTCGCCTGCCTGTGTGTCTGTGTGAGGGTGTCAGAAGCCCTGGAGCTGGAGTCACAGACAGGTGTCAGCTGACATGAGGGTGCTGAAAATTGAACCCCGGTCATCTGGAAGAGTAGCCAGACATCTGCTTAACTGCTGAGACATCTCTCCAGCCCCTGTCTATTTGACTTTTAGTCTTAAATTCATCTGCAACTCCCTGGGATTCCTATAGAGACACACAGATATCAAAAGACCCGGGTTGTGTCCTTTCAGCCTTGGGATTAGCTTTGCTGAGAGGCAGAGGACTCACGACCAGGGTACAAACCATGAGCAACTGAAGCAACACGAGGGTCCCATAGCAGTTGCAGCCTGAGTGAAGCTGTCCCTGTCAGCAGCAGCATCCTGTCAGCTCAGGACACAGTGAGTGCAGAGTGATTGCTATTTCCCCTTTGTTGCTTGAGACATTCAAGGCACAGATACAGCCTCCAAGATGCCTCCCTGGGGGGAGAGGACCCATCGCCCTGCCATGTGAGACATGAGGAGTAAGTAATTCACCAGCCCTGTTGAGGAGGAGGTACCAATGTGCCAGCCTGGACAGGCAAGTCTAATCTCCCCATGCTTCCTCACCCTGTACCAAGGCTGGCATTGGTGCATTTACTCTACTGAGGTCTGTGTCCCATCCACGGGAGAGGGGTAGAATTGAGCTTGAAGGTGTTCTGCTATGCAAGTATATGAACCGCTTCTGAGTGCGTACACTGTAAGATTAACCCATTCTCACCAGGCACTCCATCCTCTCCACACCCAGCTTCTCTCAGTACACTTAGCCAATGTGAAAACAAGGAAAGTCTACCAAGAGTATGTCCCTTAGGTGACCAGGTGTCGTCAAGCTCGGTTCCGAGTTAATCTTACGGGCTCCATGGATGATCCATCCGGGAAAACTCAGGACACATGTTTGTCCATGCATGGTGACGCTGGGCGTGCATCAACTTGCACAGTTAGCAGGAAGGCTGTGTGAGCTGTTGAATCATCAACTTTGTGTGAAAGCTCAGAGTTTGGGAGACCACAGACACAGCGCAGTCTATGTGGGAAGCACAGTACGGCGTCTTTATTCGTAGTCATGTCATACGTTACCACTCTGATCATAAAATATAGGGTGCACGTAAGATACAAATCTGTAATGTTTACTTTTTCCTTGCTGGGCAAAAAGCATGGTGTTATATGTTATCCACTGAGCCTTTTCCCTGTGCAAAGGACGTAACGCTTGGCTAAGGAAAGACCTGTTGGAGTGTGACACCAGGCTTCTGCCAAAACTTTGTAGACATTCTCTTGTTTGTTGGCTAGCAAACAACGCATTCTCCTTCCCTGACCTCAGTTCAGTAAATCTCCTTCAATTTCCCATTATCTTTTTACATCATACCTGGCTATTTTTTTTTTCTAGAGACATTGTCTTATGTATCCCAGGGTAGCCTCGAACTTCCTGCGTAGCCACTGATGACCTGGGATTTCTGATTCCTTTGCCTCTTGTGTCAAGCACTAGTTTACATGCCTGCACCTCACCCAACCTTGTGCTGGAGGGGTAGACTAGGTCACCATGCACTCTGGGCCAGCACTATACCAACTGAGTCCTCTTTCCCGTGTTTCATTTTTTGTTTTCCAGTTCTGGCTATCGACCTAGGAGATTATACACACCAGGCAAGGGCTCTACAGCTGTGCTTTTTGGTTTGTATATGTTCGTTTATTTATTAGAAACAAGATCACACTATTCTAACCCTGCCTCGCCTGGAACTTGGCTGTGTAGATCAAGCTGGCCTTGAATTCACAGAGATCCACCTGTCTCAACCTCCAGAATGCTGGGATTTAATCCATGAATCACCATGCCCAGATTATTTTTTTTTAATTCCACGTGTGCACTTGTGTCCATGTGATGATATACATGAATGCAAGTACTCTCTCAAAGGCTAAAGGTGTTGGACCCCAAACATGCTGCCCCCTCCCCAAGACAGAATGACAGGTGGTTGTGAGTCACCCAACTGGACATGGAACTTGGGTCCTTTTCAAAGGTAGTGTGACTTTTTAACCCCTGAGTCATCTCTGCCAGCCATTTCTCCAGCCTCTCTTCTTTGATTTCCTTCTTCTTGTTTGTTTGTTTGTTTGTTTTTGCAAGACAGAGTTTCTCTGTGTAGCCCTGGCTATCTGAAATTCACTATGTAGAACAGGCTGGCCTCAAACTCAGAGAGACCCACCTGCCTCTGCCTCTCAAATGCGGGAATTAAAGGCATGCACCACCACTGCCAGGCTCCTTTTGCTTTCTTGATCTGAGGTCTCATGTAGCTCAAACTTCATAAGTAGCCAAGGATGACTTTGAACTTCCGATCCTCCCGAATGCAAGGATTATAAGCACTCACCACTATTTTCACGGACTATTTTGTCCGGGTTTTATTTATGTATACACACACCCATAAACAAAATTTTAAACCAGGAGTTTCAGTGAATGACTGTAATCCTGCCACTTGGGAGGCTGAAGCAGGAAGATCAATGCAAGTTAGAGGCTAGCCTGGTCTACACAGTGAGTATCAACTGCACCAAAAAGAAACCAACATACACACACACACACACAAAATGAATGAATGAAAGTAATAAATAAATAAAGTGCTTCAAAACAAAAATTTTTTAAAATAATATTTTTTTAATTAAAAGTAATTAAAAAATTAAATCTAGGTTCTGCATATGAGAGGAAACACTCAGTGTTTGTCTTTCTAACTTTAACTTTCCTCTCTCCACTGTCTATATATACCACATTTTCACAGTCAGTCATCCCCTAAGGGACATCAGGCTTGTTCCAGTTTCTAGATGGTGGGAATAATGCAGCAATTAACACAAATGTGAAGTATAACAGGGCAGGAAAGATCAATCGACTTATACAGTGCCAGTATTGTCTATTTACCAATGCATGACTTCACTTGTTACCTGGAACAGAATGACCTGGAAAAAATATCTAAACAATGGGTCCGTGCCCTTAACAACTTGCTGACTTCCCAAAAGGCTTCTGTAAAATCTCACTTACCCATGCCACCTTGTGGTTCTGGAGTATAAAATCAGAATACAAACTGCTCTGGGGACGGAAACCTTTCAGGAGCCATCCTGGCTTTGGTCCACCAGTGACGTCTCTTCTCTTCCACTCTTGTTGGTGTTGGACTGGCGTATTCCAGAAAGAGTCCCACAACATTTCTGAAGGCCCTAGTGGGATATCCTTCACCATGACCCCATGTGATCAAGAATGACTGCCTCTCCAGGGCCTCTCAGATGACCAAAAGTCTCTGGAGTCAGGAAGAACACATACCCACATACCCAATGGGGTCCCAGGAAGAACGCATACCCACGTACCCAATGGGGTCCCAGGAAGAACGCATACTCACATACCCAGTGGGATCCCAGGATCCCTTTCTAGTGGCCAAAATTACTATGAGACCCAAGATCAGAGTCTCTGAGTGCTGGGAGTCCAGACCAGGTAAGGATGGCCCCCACTCCCCGAGGAGATAGGCAGGAAGAGAAAATGGAGCCTTAATCACCCCACAGAAGATTGCATCCAAAGCCCCGATGAGGACCAAGGTGGTACTGGTATTGGTCTCTGGGGAAACAGACTAGAAACTTAAAGAAGGAGTCCATAACTTCTGAATGAATAGTGGATGAATGTGTGCATGCTTGTCATGGCTCTACACACCCGAGGCTACAGAAACTGATTGGGTCCCAGGACCTATGGTTCCCTCGATGCTGGTTCACCTTCCATAATAGGAGGTGACCCAGCAGAGGTGACTGAGCACGGTTAAATCATGGGAAGGAGGCTGGCAAAGCAGGCACCTTCTACCCCACTTCTCTACCCCACTCTATGCACTACAAGGAGTGGAACATATAACCTCCCCCAGTTCCTGGTTTGGGAACTCCTGTTATGGGGTCTGCACAGATCTAATACAAACCCATACAGTCTTGCAAAGATTGTTAAGCCTAAAGACACCAAGGAAACACCCACACTAGCATCCCCAGAGGATGGAATTTTTCACACGATGCTGTCTCCAATTGTCAGCATCACAAGGAACCAAGATGGTCCCAAGATCATCTCATCCCAACCCTCCAAAAGCAGCTGCATTATACAATGCTCACCAGCCTCAAGCGCAGGCCAGCCTTGCCAGACTCTGTGGGATGCATTTCAGATACAAACCCATTCCAATGTGTTCACTAAGGGAGTATCACACCTTTCCCTCATCCAAGATGGCAGCTACGTTGTTCAGCCACATAGTTGCCAGAAGAGGAGGGAGAGCCCTTCCATGATTTTGAAGAAATTGTAGAAGAGATTGTCTCCTCACAACCAGACTTAAAGGATTAGCTGCTCTCCAATTCAGATGTGGAACTTTTTACTGATCAGAGCTGAAGCCTATGACAGGGCAATAGCCCCTCACAACAAGAAACTCTAAACAACAATATATCAAGAAAGGGGACTGCTTACCTCAGGGAATAAAGAAGCTAAACACAAGAGTTCAAATCTTCCAGCTCCTAGGAGCTGTGTGGTCTCCTCTGGCTATGGAAGTGACACACTGCCAGCCTCACACAAAGAGCCAAGGTCTACTCTAAGAAAACACAGCTCCAAAGTCCCACCCCATTACCCCCCAGAACTCCCCTCACAATAGGCCAGAAAAGAAAAACAAAAGAACAACAAACACAAACTGATATGGGCCAGGGAGCTGGTTCAGTGAGTAAAGTCCAGACTGTCAAGCCTGATGACCTGAGTTTGATTCCCTGGATCAACTGTGTTGGCTTACAGATAATTCTGCTAGACACCTCCCAGGTACACAGCAACAGTTACAGCATCACCCACCGCCATTACTACCTGTGCCACCACCACCAGGTGCAGGTAGCTTG